AAATATTTAACAATATAAAATAATAAATTAAAATATTTATTATTTAAATATTTTCAATTATTTTTTTTACTTCTTCAATTAGATCCCAATTAATATCTTCTTGTAATTAATTTGCTAAAGAAGTTTCTTCTCTATATTCATCATAATAATCTTCATCCATACTAAGATCACCAGACCCATTTACTGTAAGTTGAATACAAAGGTCTGAGTAATTATTCAAATTCATTAATAATAGAATTTGAATTCTAGACCTTTTATATAATAGTCTAACAATTTAATTATTATACTAAGATTACTAAACCATAGTTTGCTCTTTTTTTTAATAAATACTTTGATTTATTACTTTTTTTATTTTATTATCTTATTTTTTTAAATTTTCTTCTAACTACTACTTATTTTATTAAAATTATAATTTCTTTTCTTAAACTAGTTCTAAAAATATCTAATTACTTCTTTCTTAATATTTTCTTTTTCTGTTATCAATATTATATTTTTATATTTATTTTTGCTAATATATTATACTTTATCTAAAATAATCTTATTATAATATCTTTTTAGCAGATTGTTGAATATCTTTTTTAGATTTGCTATAGATAATACAAATTTTTTTCTATATATTTTTATATTTTTTTATATTTTTTTATTTTTGTTTTTTTTTATTTTTTTTTATTATATTCTATTATTTTTTATTTTAGTATACTATTGTATTTTCTATATCTTATTAACTCTGAAATTTGTATATTATACTTTGTATTTAGTTACTTTGATTTGTATATTATATAGCAACTCTTCTATTATATTTACAAAATTTTTTATATTAGCTATATCCTTTTTATAAATCTTTTTTAGTATCTTTGATCGACTATACAAAAAAGATTTTGTTATTTCTTTCTAATTTGATATTTTATATTTTGAGTTTTTATTAAGAAAATATATTTATTTGTAACTATTGTAATAGTTTAATTATTAAATTCTAGTTTTTATTAATACTCTTTTTAATACTTTTTTGTAATATCCTTAAGATCTTTTTTTTCTATTTTTAGAGTTTTTCAGAATTTTTCAACTTTTTGTTCATAAGTCTCTTAGTTCTCTCTTATAGCTTTATAATATAAATAGATTTTTTTAGTTTTATTTTATTACTTTTTGCTAGTAATTTTGTTTATTTTAAACAGGTTTGTACTATCTAGTATTTTTAATTTATAGATAATACAAAATTTTTGTCTTATAATATAAAAATAAATACTACAAAAATGTAATCATTATTTTCAAATATTTTTATATAAATTTTTACTTAGATATTTTTCTTTAAAAATAAAATCATTACTATATTTAGGCTATTATATAGACAAATTTGTCTGTATCTCTCTATAATCTAAAAGATAGTAAATTTTATTTTGTGTTAAAAAAAATACTCTTTTATATTATGTGATTATTACAACTAATTTTAAAACAGTCTTGAACTGTTCCAAAGAGTCTAGTTCAGAACCTAGTATAAACTAGTTTCCTGTAGACTATTTAGTGTTTTGAGTAAAATTATATATTTCATCCAGGTGAAATTTCTGAAATAGAGTGAAATATATTTTGCCCAAAGACCTGAAATCTGATAATTCTGAAACTGGTGAAACTAGTAAAATATCTAAAACCTGATGAAATATTCAAAAACTGGTGAAATATCTGAAAACTAGTAAAACCAAAACTTGCTAAAATTTATGAAATCTAAAATTAGAAATATAATTAGAAAAAATACTAGAGCTTAGTAGAGCAGAGTATTAGTTCAAATCAGGAGGATAACGTGAATAGATCCTACAAAATATTCATATATAATTCTTATCTAAAATAATATATATCTGTAACTTGTAAAGCAATACGTAGTAATAAATTATCATTTCTTTTATTAGTTAATAATATTTGCAAATCTTAATACTAATAAACTTATTTACTATTTATATTTTAAAATAATAATTTAATAAGCAAATGTTTAGCATAATAGTTATATTCTAGTTTAATATAACAGTATTATGTAATTATCTAATTAGAAAGATTTATTGATGATACTGTCTTGTAAAACCAAAGATATTCCTTATCATATCAATATTAATATATTCTTATGCTATGTACAAAAGTTTTTCTATAAGTTTGCTTATATAAAATTTTTTAAAAATGTACCTTACAATTTTGTTCTTTAACATTGAAATAATTTAAGTCAAAAATTAAAAAGTATTAGGTAATTTTACTTTAATAAGTGTTTTGAATTGTTTAATACCTTTAAACAAGAATATCTCGACAACTGCTTAATGAAATTCAATAAAATTTTTTATTTTAATTCTATAGTATCTTATAATTTATTTAAAAAAAATTTTATTGAATTTTATCAGGTGGTTGTCAAGATATCTTTATTCAAAGTTTCTAAACTAAATTTCTACTTTTATTTGTATTTTAAATCTTTACCAAACTTTGAGTGAAGATATCTTGACAACTACTTGATGAATTTCAATGATTTTTTTTTATTTTAAGTCTAGAATCTTCTATAATTTATTTAAAAAAAATTTCATTGAATTTCATCAGGTGGTTGTTGAGATATCTTCGTTCAAAGTTTCTAAATTAAATTTCTACTATTATTTAATAGGTATTTTAAATTTTTATCAAACTTTAAGTGAAAATATCTTAACAACTATTTGATAATTTTAATGAATTTTTTTTATTTTAAGTCTATAATATATTATAATTTATTTAAAAAGAACTTTCATTGAATTTCATTCAGTTGTTGTCAAGATATCTTTGTTCAAAGTTTTTAAACTAAATTTCTACTATTATTTAATAGGTATTTTAAATTTTTATTAAACTTTGAGTGAAGATATTTCAACAACTATTAAGTAAAATTTAATAAACTTTTTTTATTTTAATTTTATTAATTCATAGAATTATAATAAAAAAATTTTATTGAATTTAGTCTAATAGTTGTTGAGATATCTTCATTTAAATTTTTAAAAAAATTTATATAATTTTACTTTAATAAGTATTTTAATTTGTTTAATAACTTTGAAATATAAAACTAATTTATATTAATTAATATATATTTAAATATAATAGAAATATATTTCAATCTATCAAAAAAATAGCAGGCAGATCTCCTTCAGATATTTAAGATAATCATTTTAAAAAAGGCAAAGAAATTTCTAAAAGACATTATGAAAGATCATGCAATTATTGTTCTTTTTTTTAAAATAAAGACTCTCCTCAAGATTTTGAAGACCACTTGGCAAATAATTGTTCTAATGTTTCTAGTGATATACAACAAAAATATTTAAATAAAATTTTAGAAAGATTTGGAAATTCAAAAAATTCTTTAATCAAAAAAAATATTCAAACAAAAATTAGTAATTTTCATGAAAGTTCTAAACTTTCTTTTGAAAGAATAATAGAAATTAATAAAGCTTGTATTAAAGCTTTTGTTATTTGTGGAATACCTTGGTCTATTATTAAAAATCTATTTTTTATTGATTTTTTAAAAAAATTATGTTCAGGATATACACTACCTTCTCATGAAGTTCTTTCTGGTCGTTTTCTTTCTTAAGAAGTAGCAACTATAAATTTAAAAGTAATTCAAAAATTGAATTATTCTAAAAATTTAACAATAGATATAATTTTATATTTAAGTTTATTTTAAAATTAATTTTATAATAACTTTTTTATTTTAAAACATGTAATGGTTGAACTAATAATTTAAATGAATCTATATAGAATTTTCTTATTTATATATTAGACTGCTATGAATATTTATGGTGTTTAAGAAATTTATCAGAACAAAATTATACAGATGTTTTAATTGCTAAGGAGTTAGAAAAAATAATTGAAACAATTAGAAGTGAAAAATTTTCTGCAATAATAACTGATGCTAGTTCCAATGTTAAAAATGCTCGACAATTAATTTCAGCAAAATATTCAAATATTCTTAATTTTCATTATATGCCACATGCTATTAATTTAATTTCAAAAGATATTTGTAATATTCCTTTTGCAAATCAAATTTTAACTAAATGTAATACTTTAGTAAATTACTTTAAAAAAAGTCATCAAGCTGGTATGAATAATTTAAATTTATTAAAAATTTTAAACTAAATAAATTAATTTATTTTTAATTTAGGTGCAGTATTAAAAGAAGAAATTAGAAAATTTAATATTATAGGTGGAGGACTAAAGCAATAGGTTATTACAAGATAGCATACTGTATATGAATATGCTAATTCAATTGTTCGTCTTAAAGAACCTTTAGAAAATGTAAGTAAAATTTTATTTAAATATTATTAATTATTATTTTAATTATTATTAAATATTTTATTTTAGTTAAGATATAATTCACCAGATATTCTTTCACAAGCAGTTATTTTAATTTTATGTTCATGTGCATTTTTTGATGATGTTAAAATTTTAGCATATATATTATGTCCTGTTAAAAAAGCTATCACAATTTTAGAATCACGTTCATGTACTCTTGCTGATTATTTTTGTGAATTAATTTATTTTGGTGCATCTATTAATAAGTTATCTTTAAATGATCATTCTATTTTTCATAAGCAATGTATTGCAATCTTTAATAAGAAATATAATGAATTTGCTGATCTACTCTATTTATTATGTTTTTTTTTACATCCACAATATAATGGTAAGTAATTTAATATTATTAAATTTAAATTTAAAATATTAATTATTTTAATTTTATATTTTTAGAATTTTATTGGATACATGGAACATTTAGAAAACTTTTATTAGTAGCAGATGACATTTTTAAAAAAATAGTAAATCAAATATTTCAAGATGTGATTTATTATATCAAATGAAATTATATTATACAAAAGAACCACCATTTGATATTTTATATAGTATGTCAGAAACACTACTTGTTTAGTGGTTTTCTCTTGAAGATAGTTTTTCTAAAGGTAAAGATTATTTGGTTCAATTAGTATTAAAATTATTCTCAATTGTTTCACATGCTACTGGATATGAACGTATATGATCTAGGTTAGGTTGGTTATATAGAACAAGAAGAAATAGATTAGCATTTCATAAAATAAAAAATATGCATAAACTTGCATCATATTATTATTCACATGCTAAACAAGAATTACCATATTTTGGAGCAGAAAAAACAAATTCAGAAGTTTTTGAAATTTTAATTGATGAATATTTAAATTTAGATTAAGATGATTTTGTTGAAATTACTGAAGTTAATTTAAATAAAAGTGAAGAAAATACTAATTTAAGTGAAGAATTAAATTTATTATTAAATAATATTCTAAATTTAGATAAATTTGAAAATGAATTTGAAGAAGATGATCTTAGTATGGATGAAGATTATTATGATGAATATAGAGAAGAAACTTCTTTAGCAAATCAATTACAAGAAGATATTGATTGGAATCCAATTGAAGAAGTAGAAAAAATAATTGAAAATATTTAAATCATAAATATTTTAATTTATTATTTTATATTGTTAAATA